GCTTTTTGCTCCTATAAGGATTTATAGCCTTGCAAATCCTATACAGGGTCACTGAGTTGGAATCGACTTAGTGATGGGTTTGTTATTATGAGGTTGGACTAGTGGTGGTGGGGATGTGCCACTGAGTAGGTTCTGGCTCATACTGATCCTGTATAAGGTTTCCGAAGCTGTAAATCTTAATGGGAGCAGAAAGCCTCATCTATCTCTTGTGGAGTGTCTGGTAGATTTGAACTACTGACCTTGCAGTTAGCAGACCACTCAAAATCTACTATGCTACCAGGGTTCCTTATGAGGTTGAACAGAGTTGGTTAAAATGTTGTGTACTGATGATGCATGATTTCTGAAGCTATATTTTATGGTAAATGGAGGGTAAAATTAGGGATGTTGGCTTACATCAGCTACCTTTTACGTAGTCCTCAGTAAGGTCCTATATGAGAGAGATTTAGATTGAAGGAAGCTCTTCAGAAAACAGAGTAACAGCACAGGACAGTCAGGAAGGCAGAGAATTTAATGGCAATTAAAACTGGGACAGAAAACCAGCCAGCCCTCTGGCATTTCTAAGAACTTTTCTGCCTGACAAAGCGGAGGTAGTTATGTTTACTGTGGAAATGGAATGCAATGAAGATTTCATGCAAAACTTGTCCATCCTTAAACTGATCATCAAGCCACAGTGCCTAACCCCCAACCAGAACAGAATGTTTAGTCAACAGAAAAGGCATTCTACTCACTTCCCCGATGCACTCTTCACACAGAGCAGTGCAGAGACTTGTCACAATGACTAACAGAAGAAGTCACCTTATTCCCAGAGCAGGAAGGTCCTGTGTGTGACATATTTTAGGAAACACTGACAGGGCGTTGAGTTTTCCACTCTGTCCTTTAGTGGACAAAAATTTTCAACTTTCATTTTTTGATCCTTCTTCATTATTTATTGAATGCACTGGAGTAGAATAACTTATCTTTCAGTCCTTGGTCACCAGACCATGAGCATCTGGCAGGCCAGCACATTACATAGAAATGTTGGGTAAAACTTCATTCCTCCATTAATAGCCATATGTTCATAGACGCTGACTCTCCAGGGATAACCACATAGATAACCCCTGTAATCTGTGATAATGGCTGCTCTAACAATAGGACTGTTACTCAACTATGGCCAGTAGACCTTAGGGGTTCTGGGATACTTTGGGGAAAAGTTTCTTTACTCCCCAAAGAGAGGCACAACCCCCCTGAGGTTCTCATATAATATTGAGATAACAAATTTCATTATTCTATAACTCAGTTTGAATTAAAATGCCTATTGCAGTCAAAAACAGCCTACTGGTTCAGATATATACAGGTTTCCAAGTGGTTATAAAAGTTTTATTAGTATCCTTAATAGAGTCATTTATTTATTTACTCATTAAACATTTATTAGCAACTGGAATCCTGGTGTGGCGCTGTTGGTTAATGCGATGGACTGCAAAGTCAGTTTGAACCGCTAGGTCGGCACTTCAAACTCACTAGCTGCTCCTCGGAAACCCTATACAGGGTCGCTATGGGTTGGAACTGACTCGACGGCACTTAACAACAACAACAACAACAACACAACATATCAAGGACTCAGCATGGACCAAAGGAAACAGATGAGCAAGACATTATTTTGATCCCTAAACCCCCTGATGTCTAGTATGAGACAAGTAAAACAACAATTACAACAGTGTCATAAGTGCTACAGTAGCAATAAGCATGGAATGTTATGCATGGGTAGAAGAGATGGTTAGGGTTAGCTTTCTGCAGCCAGTAATGCTGGAGCTGAGCCTTGGAAGGACCCATAGGCCTTAGCCAGGCAGAGAAACGTATGGTATCTCGAGAAATTTCCAAAACAGATGTACAAGTAATTTCAGTTCATCCAG